TTCTAGTGAAAATTATTCAATAAAGAACAGCTAGAGGTACCCTCTGTGTGATCGAGGATATTTAGGCTCTTAACATGAGGCAGTCCCGATCATTCTTACACAAGCTACCACTGCTAAATCCTAACTGACTAAATTGTATTTTAGTTTAATATAGTTTGAAACCTAGTAATTTCCATCGAAGTTTACACAGTGTTAAGGTGGTATCGACACTAGATATTTTTTTTCTCACTCCGCCCGCCTGTATGTATATCTCAGTGATGTCTTTAAATCTATCTTGCTCAGACATATACTTCAGTGTGGCATCTACGTTACTGAGAGTTTGGGAACTGTTTTGCTTCTCGCAATCACTGGTTATTACGTCTACGTTTTTTTGTTGCGGTTGTGCGTAGGCCTTCATCGTCTGTTTTTGCTCTTATACATATTACATATGTCGACATGGAGGTCTGCCTGTATGACTGTGTCTTTCCTCGTAATACTTGATCACGTTTCGACTTATCTGTGTAGTCCATGGGATCAATCGAGCCCTATTATTAATCAACGAAGCCTCTATCTCTCTAAAGGTCTAAACGTGCGATATGTACTATGTGTGATCTGATGCCCTTCGTTGCCCACATAAAACCCGTCCGGTATAAATTGTATGATTCTTCGTCTAGAGGTTCCAGTATTAATGCCATACCCATACAATTGCGTGAAAACTCAAACATAGCTGAGCAGTCTAGGCCCTCACTCGTATGCTCAGTTCTGTCGTACCCTTCTACATTCAAACCCGTCCATTTGCAATACGCTGTTACACCATCGTATATGTCACGCTTCATATGCTGTTTGTGTCAAAGATGAATTTCTACGTTGTTATATCTGTGTACTGCGCTGGCGGCTGATAAGCTATCCTTCATAAATTGGCTAACAGCTTGGTTGATGAGTTTGATGTATAATCCTTTAACCATAATTTCTATTTTCTCTATCAGATCGTATAGATACCAGCGTGCTATACGGTTGACTTCATTCAACTTCTTGTTTTACGGTCCAGTCAATTCACCAGATATTTTAATGAACGTAGTGCGGTCGACCGCTCCTAAATCATTCTGTGTGCAGGTTTTTTTATACGAGCATATATTGATTCCATCGGCATTTTACTGATAACCTTAAGACCAGTTACAATGTCGTCGATGTCACAAACACGCTTCTCGCCGAATGCAACCCTTTGTACCATAGCATCATTATCAATAAAAGCAGCTGCATTTCCTGCCACTTAGTAATTTGCTGTTGTTCGGTAGATGATTTTTTTTGAGGTATGTTGGGCCCGCTTTGAAACGCATCATATTTTTTTTTTGTGCATGTTGTGCATGTGTATTTCCGAGCTGTGAGGCAAGGAAGCACTACTTTTCCGAAACTAAAGACTAGCTATTTGTTGCTGCACCGTTTCACCTTTTGAGGCTGGAGTATCACCATCATCACTGGGACTTTCACTCGAATCAGAACTTTGATTTAGGCTACTAGATTTATTTAAGGCGCTTAGATCATCACCCGACTCACTGTAGTTGCATTTCTCAATATGTTTACTGTTGCGCTTCTTTCTCATACGAGGTTTTGGCCTAGCTATCTGCGACAGTACTGTCATGCAACCTAAGTTACGAGCACCTTTTTTGCATTTACTTATAGACTTGTGCATCAATGTAAGATGCTCAACGTAAGCGTTATCCGTGCGTCTAACAGAGGCGGTCATCAATGCTGCGACATCATCAGAGAGGATACTAGTAGCTTCAATATGCATACACTGTCGAAACCGCTGAACTAGTCTTTCTGTTTATCTATTGTGAAGGATAAAAATAACCCGTAACGCGCCATCCCTTTTCTATCAGTGTAGCTGAAATATAGTCTGAAAACTTTCTCATCGACCTCGATGCGACGTCTCTGTGCGGTTTGTATAGTTGAGTCAATAGTACTTTGAAACGATTCTTGGAATCGCGAAGTTCAGTTTAATGTTCGAGTGCTGGGGGTTGCGTCTTCAATGCGTGTCTGCATGCGTACTCGTTTGCAAGCACAGAGACATAGTTCACAAGACAAGTGTTCGCCCTTAGAAAAACACAGCTTTATGCAGTTCTTGGCATGGTTGATTATGTGCATATTTAGATAGAGTTTAGTTATGTTATGTATTGATAATTGTGTGATCAGAAAATGTACGCGAGTCAAAAGTAAAACAATTCGCGCCAATTTTTTTTTGACCAATGGGAGCTCGAAAGCTGTAGGGTAAATAATCTAAAACACGGCACGAATTGAGCTTGTAGGTTTTGCGGCACGAGGTGTACATTTTAACCAACATAGCTACTGGTCTGCTTCCTTCGCGGGATGGTCTTAGATATGTCTCATGCATTTTTCGGCCCTGGCTGGATGTCTTTAGGTGCAATAGCGCCCTCACCATAAAAATGGGTGGGGAGGCTCGTTACTACGGTTTTACCTAAATTCGGTGAAACAAAATTCTAAAAACTAAATACATACATAAATACTGCATTCGGTTTTGAATTTGGTCATCCCACTAATCTCCAAAATCCAGTGTTTATTGTCACATGTATTATTATTTAATTATGTACAGTATACCCTTTCTGAAACGACTTCTTCAAGCTATATTCTTTTTAAAATTAAATGAATTGGAATATCATGGTTCACAAATCTGAAATCACAAACAATATTTGCTTCACATTCCATAATGAAAAACCGAAAGGTGTTTATGTAAATATGTGTACCACACTTTCAGCATTTCATTACATTACGCAGCCTTGCTCGACCCCAGTGTTCAGTGAGCAGAGAGTCGCTTTGTTCCCGTCCGGGCGTCAGGTGGGGCAAAACTTTGAAGTTTGAAAGGCGAGTGAACGGCTGCACGACTGACGACGCCTAATAAATAACGGTACAAACTTTGACTGTTTGACAGCACCAACGTGTTTTTTAAGAGCAAATATACGAAATAGATTAATAGAGGGCATATTGTAACTGAAGCAATAGCATCAATTTTTATTCGAGTTTAGAAAATAAACACAAACGTGATCACTATTTGAGTTTTAGACCTGTTTTTTTTTCATTTAAAACAAATATAGTATAATTAAAAAAAAAAGAGGTTAAAATTGTGATATTTGATGGACAAAAAGCTAGAGAGAGAGTGGCTCAATGGCATGTATTTTTTTCTTCATATATTTATAAATAAATAAATAAATAGATATTCTCTCTCTCTCTCGGTACTCAGTCCTCACGTCTCGCACATATGTGTGAGCTAATGTCTCATAGTCATAGTTCTCTCACAAGATTAGCCCAGGCCCCAGCTCACAGCTGGCAGTTAAAGTGTGTATATAGTGTGTAGTTGTAACTTGTAAGTATACACGTTGTTTTAAAAATACATACTGTGTAGCAGGCTTTATTTGACTCGGAGAGGCTTTATTGTGTAAGCGAGTAGGCTGTAGACTAGAGTAGGCCGGAGTCAGAGACTGAATTCTGGGGATATCAGTAAGTATCTACCAAATATGGAATGAATATGGCCGTGGCGCATTGGCGCCACAATCCAGGCCACAATGGCCACATGCATAAAAAGCCATAAATATTGTGTAGAAGACTGGTAAACCCGTATGTTTTGCCTGTATCTATTTATCAATATCACGTGATATTTTATTCCGCCTTGTTGAGTTGTTGTTGACATTCTTTTGGTTGTTTTGCTATGTTTTTTTGGGAGGGGGGGGGGGGGGGATAAAAACAATGGGAGTACAATTTGAATACTTTAGAATATTTAATGTAAAATTGATTACATATCGGAGCATGGACAATTGGACAGAAAGACACGGTTCTTTTGTTTGTAATTTTTTTAAAATTTTTAGCTCCGAAGAGGAAGCGCTCTGCAGCCTCTGCAGGCAGTGTTGGGCCTGGTGGTCCACCGCTCGGACCTCGGGGCCTCTCTCTTCTCTCTCTAGTAGTATTTAGCTCTAGTAGTAGGATCTGGGGCTTTGTGCGCGGCCCTGCCCTTTCTCATTTCTGGACTTCTGGTTCTGGACCCCTGGAGCAGCTGGACTGAGGTCGATGGCGAAAAGATGTCACAACAAAAACCTGACACGATTTCGGATTTCAATTTTCAGCATAGCAGCCACAAACAGTCTTTGAGACCAACAGACTTTAAGCTCTGTATTTATTTAAGAATATTTACACGATATAAACAGTAAAACCACGCACGGTAGTACCGTATCTTTGTACTGTTCACACTGATTCTACAACAAGTCAACCATGGGAAACTTTCTATCATCAGAAGGTATACCCCTATGTCCATACTGCTTTTTATCTCACTCTATCTTCTTACGGGCAAGGGTGTTGGGGTTGAACATTGTCCAACGTGTGCGTTATGGTCGTCAAGTCTTTTTTGAGAGAATTTCGGGGTTTTTTTTGGGTACGATGATCGCTGCTATGAGAGAGTGTTGGCATTTACTCGCTTTGTATACAATTAACGGATACATAAAGTCAGACTCCACTGAGTACTGAGATGTCACCTGCCCTAAGGAGGCTATTAGCCCATGCACCAACATTCTATTTTAGATTTACTGCTGCTGAGGTTCTGCATGGCAACGCTTGTTGCTATCACTCGTATCGTGCTAACGAATTGTATTCCAACTCCTCAAGTATGCTTATATATATTCATGCTTAATTTAACGCCTTGTCACACCCACAGCCCCTGCCGGCGAGGCGTCCGGATACCTATACCCCGACCCAAGCGACCCGAAATTGAAGGCGCAGAGTGTGATAGCACCGGGTGGTAACTGGGGTGCAGATGCTCACCGCTGTCCCAAATATGTTGGTATGTATTCGTGTTGACTGATTTCATTGCTTATGCAGGGTATAGATATGTCAAGTTGTATGGCTGTTGCGCATCTACTTGTTTCAGTGGCATTTGTGGTTCGAGTCCATGTAGGTTACCGTTACAATGCAACAAATCACACCGAGAGACTTTCTCTGCCTGTGTACAGAAGTATGTAGATGAGCTTATAATCATGTGTGTTGTCGCCTTTGAATTGGCAGAACCAGGCGTGCAGAACGGAGTGTGATCCTCAGGAATATCTTTCTTGAGTGGAGATTTTTAGACACCTATTTAGGGGTTCAGCAACTAGTTTCGGAGAGTTGTACCTATTTGAGGAGCGTGCACATGTATATGTAACGTCGGTGTTGTACAGACTGTAAATTTTAAAAGTTTTTCTAGTGTCGAATATCGTGAGTAATCTCATGTTCTTAGTATACAATTAGTCTCAAGGTATCAACATTACGCAAAGACACTTAAAGAGTTCGTAGTCTAAGTGCCGTTTGGTTGTAATCAATAGGATCAACCAATCGCCTACACACGTAGTAGCACTGCTACCAATCGGGAAGTATTCGGTGGTGTGAAACCCGGCACAACTTATCATTCAGAGTATAGGAGATTGTGTAGAATTATCACCTCTCACACTATTTTAAAGCTTCAGCAAAAAATATCTTTGGTAGAATTTGGACTTGGCGCTGGTTGTGTGATAATTTCCGTGCGTTGTCCTTGCAAGACTGACTGTATGTCTAAATTAGACTTTGTTCAACAGTCCAAAATACTGGTATACTATCATGATTCAAGCTCTGACAGTAACAATATTGGATTGGCTCCAAAGATAAAAATAATAGCACGTCGCTTAGATATCCCACGTAAATTTACACGCATTCCCATATGCACAGATGGCAAAGCCGAATGGACTGACCTTATCACATCCGGCACACCCGGTCGCGAGACCTGCTACGCGAACTTCCAAGCGACGGCCAAAGAACAGGGGGACAAGCCATGGCTGGGCACTCGTAAGGTGCTTTCTGACGGAAAGCCCGGACCTTACGAGTTCATCACATACGGCGAAGGCGCTAAGCTGGCCGAGCAGATCGGAAGTGGTCTAATGAAGTTGGGTGTTGCGCCTAAGAGCCCTTTTGGAGTATATTCCAAGGTGGGTTGTATGTGTGCACATGCATTTTTGAACGAGGACTGGCGTCGAGGCGTGCTTTTTCATCAGTACGTTGTATAGTCTAGACGCTGCATACCAATTTTTCTAACTCCGATGCTTTGATCTGTGTACTAAACAATCGTATTTGCCAATATCGGACACCACCCACGTGATTTGCAGAATCGTACCGAGTGGCTACTTGCTGAACAAGGAGCTAACTGCTACAGCATCCCCACCGTAGCCATCTACGACACCCTGGGCGCAGATTCAGTGCACTACGTAATGGAGCACTCTGAGATGGTTGGCGCTTTCTTCGAGAGCAAGCAACTGTCAGTTGTATTGGGAGCCATCAAGAAGGGCTTGCCAAACTTCAAGGTTGCAATTAGTTTCGATGAGGTCACCGAAGAGGATAAGGAAGACTACAAGGATGTCGGCGTTGATCTCTACCCGATCACCGAGTTATATGCCTTGGGCAAGGATAATATCGTTCCTCACCAGCCTCCCGGCCCGGATGATTTGCACATTCTTATGTACACATCCGGTACCACAGGGTATGTCGGAGCGCAACAGCATATTTCCAAGTGCAAACTTAAATCTACGCTGATATTTGTTTTCAACTTGCTGATTAGTTGTCAATTGAGGACATTTGCCCGCATATGTACTTTCCGATATGCTGTGATATAGTATTGTCACAAAATTTTATGACTGCCTTGCATTATGTGCTTGACATTCACTGAACCAAGCTGACGAGGCCCAAAGTCACTAACACGCCTATTTATTTCGATTTAGCGCTCCTAAGGGTGTCATGATCACTCACCGCAGTATAGTGTCACTGCTTGTGGGGCTTGCTAACGTTATGGCTTTGACTAGTAATGATGTCCACTTCTCCTTCTTGCCGCTGGCCCATATTTTCGGTAAGTATATCGCACGTTGACTTATGTTCCGACCCAAGTGCGATGTTCATGCGTGGTCTTTTTTTTGGTCAAGAGTTCTAGTCAATCAATCCTACAACGGGTGGAAATCCAGTCAGCACTCATACATACCGTGTGTGAAGATCACGACAATTCATACTACAATACTCAGATTGAAATTACATTTGTCCTGTAGAATATAAAACTTCGTAGTCAACAGATACTTACATTCCGGTACTTAATGCTTTCTATCGACAGAGCGTTTGACTCAGACATACTGTGTGCGATGGGCCTGCTCAGTCGGATTCTTCCGTGGTGTCATCCCCGAGCTTATGGCGGACGTGCAGGCTCTGCGACCCACCTACTTTGTTGCCGTACCTCGTGTGCTAACACGCATCTATGACAAGATCATCCAGGGTGTTAAGGTTAGTAAATCTTTAGAGAGGAGTCTGTACTAAGTGCCCAAGTTCGAGTTTGTGTTATCAACTGACATCTAAACTTGCTGATTACTCTCAGATGTCACACAGTGCTTGACTTGCATCGCTAGCAGTAAATAGGGCAGAGGAAAAAAACATAGCTACAATAGTAGTTGTGTCATCATGCAGAGCAGTACGGACTTATGGTTGCGGATTTGAAGTCCAGTACGATAGTTGACCATGAGATCATAGCCAATAGCAGCTTGATCTAATCGAATCACTCGCACATATACTCTATTACGCAGGCCGCTGGAGGAGTCAAGGAGATTCTCTTCAACAAGGCATTTGCTGCCAGAGATGCCGCTCTAAAGAACGGAGAAGACACACCTATCTACAATGCGCTTATCTTTAACAAGCTGAAGATGGCGCTCGGAGGTCGTGTTCGTTTCATTCTTACCGGATCTGCACCCCTGGACCCCACAGTGCACAACTTTTTGCGCGTGTGCGTGTGTCCCGTCATTTTGCAAGGGTATGGACTAACAGAGACCTGTGCTGGTGCTGCCATCTCCTTGACAACAGATGTTGAGCTCGGCCATGTAGGTCCCCCTCTGAATGTGTTCGAGACGAAGCTCGTGAGTATCCCCGATATGAACTATCTCACTACTGACGAGCAGCCTCGTGGTGAGGTGTGCATCCGTGGAGCAGGTATCTTCCAGGGCTACTTCAAGATGCCCGAGAAGACCAAGGAAGACATTGACGAGGAGGGTTGGTTCCACACCGGTGATGTTGGTCGCTGGAACGATTCTGGAAGTCTGTCAATCATCGACCGTAAGAAGTCCATTTTCAAGCTGGCACAAGGTGAGTATCTGGCTGCCGAGTATCTCGAGCAGCAGTACGGCAAGTGTGAGCACGCCGGACAGGTGTTTGTGTATGGCGATCCCTTCCGTACCTACCCTCTGGCAGTGATTGTTCCTGAGGAGGAGGTGGTTATGCTATGGGCGAAGGCAAACAAGGTCAGTGGAAGCTTCAAGGAGATTTGTAAAACGCCAGAGCTAAAGGCTCTACTGAAGGCGGAGGTTGTCGATGTGCACAAGACATACAAGCTCAAGGGATACGAACTGGTCAAGGACTTCATCGTCGAGTCCGAGGTTTTTACTGTGGATAACGAGTTGCTTACTCCCACGTTCAAATTGAAGCGTCCTAACGCTACCAAGGTATGTGTAGTTTAATTTCTACTGCGCGCTCATTGGAATTAGGTGTATGTGGCACCCAACAGGTGCTGTATTGTTTTTATTCGTTTATATCTGTTCTTTTGATTGTTTCCTTGGACTCCTTGAGGGTGGACGCTACTGTGGTGGATGCTCTGCGCGTCAGTTCTTTAGTGTAGTCTCATGGAAGGCGTGGTCATGCATTCTTTTTGTGTTCGTGTGTAGCAGCTGGTTTTGGCTTTGTAAGAGATGAAAAAAGGTGGGTATAAATCCCAGTCTTTGAAAAAGCGACAATTCAATCAAGTTTTATACTTACCATAACTTTTTCTCCCCTCTCTCCCTTGAATTGCAATGCGTATAGAAATACCAAGCGGCACTCACTGAGATGTACGACAAGGTCGATGCCGAACTTGCCGCCCGCCAAGCCAAGAAATGAGCGAGCCTGATATACCACAAACAACATGTACTACAAACAAAGCTATAGGTCAAATGGTCTGGGAGAGGTCTGATTCGTCGAAATCACAATTGGGAAGTAACCGGATGAAAAGTCAGTGAGTGCAAAATTTGCGAAATTTGGAGCCGTTGATGCTTCTTATGGCAATGAAAACGCTGTGCGAAACTCATGATCGCTTGGAATGAAACCCTTCGAATGCTGTCCCAACTCCCTTCAGCAAGAACGATACAGCATTGCTGCATGTTCTAATAATAAAGAGTCCATAGTACCATTCTCATTCGGGTCTTCTCTAAGTGTACCACTACATTAGTGTATGGTTTCACTATTATATATATATATATCGGTAGCGATTCCACGGAGTCGCATATAGCGTAGTTTGAAAACGCTTCTGAGGCAGTGGAAAAGTTTTGATAGCTCATGAGTATATAACTTGAAATCGCAGGGTATGCGATTATAGTACCTGTGTTTGAGCAGAACGTGGGTTCTGACGCACACATTAACACTACCACAGAATAGCCCACACGTATTAACACTACCACAGACATAGTTCAAACTTGCACAGTTGCTACCATGCCATGAGCTGTGTGGAGGCATTGTGCGTGCCTCTGCATATGCCTCGTAATGCCATGAGCTGTGTGAAGGCATTGTGCGTGCCTCTGCATATGCCTCGTGCGTACGTGTAATGCATATGTGTAGATGCATTGAGCTTGTGTCTAGTGCATATGTGCAGATGCATTGTGCTTGTGTGGAATACATATGCGTAGATGTATTGTGCTTGTGTTTAGTGTTGTGTGTAGTGCATATGCATAGATGCATTGGGTGTGTGTGTAAGGCATATGTATAGGTGCATTGTGCTTATGTGTAGTGCATATGTTGTGCTTATGTATAGATGCATTGTGCTTATGTGTAGTGCATATGTATAGATGCATTGTGCTTGTGCGGAATGCATATATGTAGATGCATTGTGCTTGTGTGGAATGCATATGTGTAGATGCATAGTGCTTGTGTGGAATGCATATGTGTAGATGCATTGTGAATGTGTGGAATGCATATGCGTAGATGCATTGTGCTTGTGTGGAATGCATATGTGTAGATGCATTGTGCCTATGTGTAGTGCATATGTATAGATGCATTGTGCTTATATGTAGTGCATATGTATAGATGCATTGTGCGTGTGTGTAATGCATATGTATAAATGCATTGTGCGTGTGTGTAATGTATATATGTAGATGTATTGTGCGGGTGTGTGATGCATATAAATAGATGCATTGTGCGTGTGCGCAAGGCATATATGTAGATGAATTGTGTGTGTGTAATGTACATATGTAGATGCATTGTGCATGTCTGTGCATATGCCTCGTGTGTGTATATAATGCAAACAGGCATCCAGTGATCTAACAAGACAACTTAAAGGAGAACCAAAATACATTGTATTCTGTACATGCTGTCGGAGAAAAGAATACACTATATATGAATCCATGATTTTTAGTTTTTATTGTGATTCTCCATGGAGTAGTTTACTCAAAAGTACCGTTGGGAAGCGAAGCGGTGGTTGCTAACTATAAAGGCACAGGGTATGCAGTCTCCGACTTCAGTCTGCTTAGAACACTCTACAGCACCCCCAAGTGCGAGCATATCTACTCTATCGTATCTAATTCTAATTCTATATTGCAGCCCGGTATAATGCACCACGTCAGCGTCAAACAGGCCCATCCAGCGCCAGCGCCAGCGAATAATCTTGCCGTAAAGGCGGAGTACTGAGCTCCGGTTCTCGTGGCGTTCTTAGGGCTTGGTCCTGTTGCTCAGACATACCGTTCCGGTCGTCCGAATGTCCGCTGAGCGACGTCACCTGATCGTGCAGGTCGATGAGGTGGCTTACATCCTGGTGAGAGTCTGCAAACGCACTATACTGCGGTTCATCACTGGTGTACTGAAGGCTTTCCTGTCCCTGCACGCGCTGGAGATGGTCTCGGGCCTCGAATTCGAACTCGTTGTGAAGCTGCTCCTGTTGTGATTCGTCGGGGCAGTGTTGGTCGGGTGACCGGTGCTCGGGTTGTTGTTCTATTTGCGGACTATGAGCCGTTCCGGCCTCCTCTTGCAACAGTAATTGGCCAGTTATATTGCTTTGTTCTTGCACTTGCCCATTCTGTTGCGCCATGTAGTGCTCCTGCAGTTTCTGTTCTTGCTGGCGCCCGTGCTCTAGGTGGTCGTATTGTAGATCTGATTGTCCCATACTCTCCTCATGCCCGCGTTGTCCGTCAGTCTGCTGTAGGTGCTTGTCTTGTGAGTGATCTTCTTGCTGCTGTGTCAGTGGCTGTGCCTGCACGAAGTAGTACAACTGCTCTGCATGGGGTTGGTCGTGTGACAAGTGTGGTAGCTGCTGGGTATTGAGTGGCTCGTTGACTTGTGTGGCCGGTACCTCGTTATGCATCTGGCTCTCTAACTCAGCCGAGTTCACTACACCGTACGTTGATTGCTTACCCTGATGATCTGGTAGCGTGAAGTTTGCCCGCTCCGTTATCGGCGTGTGATGTTCATGTTGCGAGTTAGGCAGCGTCTGCTGTACTTCCATCGTTGATTCTATGGCGTTGTCGGGTGTACACATAGATTGCCGAGGTACGTCATGCGCCTGGTAATTATCCTGCGGTTGGGCGCCCTCAGCCATTTGTGGTGATGTGTACTGATGCCGTAAATCGTGTGCGGAATAAAAATCGGATGCCAGTGGCGTGTGGTATTGGGTCTGTTGAAGGCCCTCTTGACTATGCTGTTCCTCCTGCGGTCCCTCTTGGGTCTGCTGAAGATTCGTCGATTGCTGCTGATGCAGCATATCATTGCTAAGTGGTTGACTGTCTTGCTGCGACGGTGCTTGTACGTACTGTGCCGTGTGGTCTGTGTGCGATTGTGTATATTGCTGAGTTCCTTCACTAGTTGGCCCTGTGTACTGAGTCTCAGTAGTCGGGTGTGAGGTAGATTGCGGGGTTGGATCTGACTGAGGCGGCTGCTGTTGTGGTGTCTCTCCCGTTTGTGGCGGTCTATATTGGTCAGGTTGCTCGAGAGGCGCCTGGGTGAGTTGTTGGATATGTTCTGACTTCGGTTGCACATACGGCTGCGTTTCATCGGTCTGCATATGCGCTCGAGTGTACTGAGGTGGCTGCTCGAGAGGGGATTGTACATATTGCTGTTGCGTTGGGTAGCTTTGCATGTGTGCGTATTGCTCTGGTGGTTCGTGTGGTTGTCCGTACTGGTGTGGCTGGTCTTGCGGTGGCGCAGACTGTTGAGCCGAGCCGAGTCCTTGCAGGTTGTTCTCATTCTCGAGACCGTCCTGGTTGTATGACAGCGGAGCCTGTGGTTGCTGCTGCTGCTGCTGGGTATAGTCATAGGGCGCTTGTTGCTGGAATGCCAGCAAGTGCGTGTGCGCGGACGCATGCGCATCGGTACCCACAAACGAAGTCTGTGACTCTGCAGTAGACGGGTGTGCCGTAGCATCAGCCGCAATCAATGCGAGCTGGCGGTTGTCGGCATTGGCCCGTGGTACCGCAGGTGTCGCGGGAGGTATCTGTGGGTAGGGCTGCGGGTCTGAACTGAAGAGGTCCTTCATGCCCATGCGGTTCTTGAACCCCTCCACCCACCCGTGGCTCGCAGAGAACTTGTCGATGCCGTGCAATCGGGCGTAGTCTGCGGCTTCGTTCTGTATGCTGTTGAGTGAGATACGCACCACCGGCTGTTTAGCTCTGCGTTGCACCACCCACTCTGCCATGTACGCATCCAATTGGGGCCATTTGCCCCTACGCTGCCTGCGTGAGGTGCCCTTGCCCGTGTTGCTGCGGATAATGATGCTACCCGCCTGGTTGAGCGCGCGGAACACGGTCTTGGCCGACACATTGTACTTCTGCGACAGTTCTTTCTGGTTGCACATCTGTTTGCTGATTTCACTTCCCACAACGAACCCCTGCGCCTCAGCGTCGGCTATCAACTGCTGTTTCTGCGACATTGTGAGTGATACGTATTTCTTCTTCGGTGCCCTGGGCTTCACCGGCGGCGCAGGAGGGGGCATCGCAATGGGCAGGAACTGCATAGACTGGTGCTGTAGGGGGTGTTGCAGATGCGAGTGCTGCTCCATTGCTTGTTGATTGTACGAATCACCCAGCAGCGACTGTGCCTGGAAGTCGGGGTTGACACTGGTGGCCGTGTCGTATACCACCACGGAACTCGCACTGTGTGAGGGTGCTGGGCCAGGGTGTTGAAGGTGTACATTAGGCTGTGGTTGGATTTGCGCATGTGGTAGTCCCTGTGATGGACCTTGCGCGTGCACCTGTGCTTGAAGATCGGGTGGCTGCTGTGAGTGTGCTAGGGTATCATGTTCTTGATATCCACCTTGTTGCTGTTGATGCTGTTGCTGCTGCTGTTGCTGGTCGCGATTGAGTTGCGAGTTTTGTATTACACTCTGATTTGACAAGTCCTGTGGACGATGATCTGCCGCACTCGCACTCATACCGACACCTACATCGAAGATATCCGAGGCATTTGAATCCATGGGCTCAAGTGGTGGCTGTACAACATTATTATGACTGGCGTGTAAACTAGGCATGAGCTCCAAATTGGAGCCTGGGGCGCTCAGGGCTGGCTCGTTGAGATGCGCCTGCGCAGCGTGTTGATGATTGATCTGTTGACCGGATGATTCGACGGTATTGGGTAACGCGAAATTCAGGAGCTGGTCGTGCATGGAGCCCATGTGTTGCATCTGGGTTTTTCTGATAAGTTCTGTGGCATCTGAATGGTCTTGTAAGGCTGCGCTGTCATACTGTGCGCCCGTACTGCCACCCACACCCAGGTCCTGCGAATGTTCATGGGCCGTCAACTGTACAAATGATTCGATGCGGCCTTCATTCTGGACAGTGAGTTGCAGAGCCTCCTGAGCCAGCTGTATCTGTTGCTGCTGGGATAGGTGATTGTGCTGTTGATGTTGCTGGTCGTGCTGCTGTTCGTGCTGCTGGTGTTGGTGTAGGCTTGGCTGGCCTTGCTGCTGGTCGTGCTGCTGTTGATGCTCCACATGGTGATTTGGTGCCTGGTGTTGTTGGTAGCTTTCAACTTGTTGTTGCTGCTGCTTCTGCTCTTCCTTCCGCTGTTCATGCGCATACTGAGGCTGCTGTTGTTGTTGGCGTTGCTGTCCTTGTGGATCCGTTTGTTGTGCTTGATACATGTCTATCTCACTTTGCATTTCTCGTTCTCGACCTTGTTGTTGATCTAAATGTTCATGTTGTATTTGTAGTTGCTGTTGGTGTTGTTGATGATACTCGTGAGTATGTGCCTGAGAGTATTGCAGTTGCGTGATGGTTTGATGCTGTTGAAATTGCTGCGCCTGTTGCGTTTGATCACCACCCAGTTCCGATTGAGCATGCATCTCTGATATCACGGGAGCTTTCGAACCTAAATCGCCAAACGATTGCTGCATACTTTCATCACGTAGCATATGACTGTTAAGAGTATGTACATCTTGCGGCAAGTGTGTGTGCTGGTCTTGCTGCATATGCTCCGCATGTTCTGCCTGGTGCGACAGTTGATCGTGCTGCATATGTTCGTGGTGTTGGTGTTGGTGCTGGTGTTGGTCATGCCGCTGCTGGTGTTGATGTTGCTGGTGTTGATGTTGCTGTCGATGCTCATCATGTCCATGTTGATGTCCTTCTAAATCAGTAGTCATGTGCTGATCGATCTCATGCACTTGCGCCTGCAATTCATGCGAGTGATCCTGTTGTTCGTGATAAGTATGCGCGTGCTCTATATCCAGCGGCTGTCCCTGAGGATGACTGCTCTGATGCTCAATATGTTGGCCCTGACCACCCTCCACCTGTACCTGTAATCGCATCGCATCCTCATCATAGGCCGGACCAACATCATACGATTGCTGAGATATATAATCCAAGTCGCGGAATTGCATGTCAATCTCAGTCTCCACCCCACCTTGGGGCTGATGCCCGTGCAACAGCCCTGGAAAGCCCGGAGGCAGGGGTAAGCTACTCTCATCCTGATCATCTGTGGGCCCTAACCCATTATCACTGCCATCTAGGGGGCTCAAGGGTATATCGTCGTCATGCTCGTTTGCATTGAGGTTCATCAACGAGTCCAACTCGTTCCCATCTGCCATGGTGTCGTGCTGAATTCCTATTATATCACACTTAGCATACCGTCTGTCGTCTACACCCCCCTCACTCTTCACCGCAAGGAATGCTACAAGGCAAGCACAGCGAATAGAAGCTCAGGACCTCACTTGGTAACAGAACGAGCACAAATTGAATATACTGCCTAACCGGCGTACAGCACCAGCTACCACGGACTTGTAACAGACATTAAACAAAGAGATTTTTAAGGTAAGATTAAAAGATTAGCCTCTTGTTATTTGTCTCGTATTACAGACTACGGGCGTGTCTCGAGTCTCGAGTCTCGAGCTGTGACGCGTGTTGGTCAGTGTGTGGCTGACTCGGGCTGTGTGCGTTGGTTCTGAAAACTGGTCATGATTTTTCATTTTTCCCTGCAGGGGTTTGTTTTCAAAAAACTAAAAGGGTGTTCAGAGATAAAAATAAAATAAAAACGACACCCAAATGCAGGATAGTATAGTACTTAGCAGTCAATGAAAATCGACTGTAGTCTTTTTTTCATCCAATAAAAATGAACAGAATTCAATTTAACTCATCTTCCCTTGGAAGAATATTGCCTACCACGATAATTTCGAAATAAAAAGCTGAAAAATGAATTACACGTTTCACCGTAACGAAAATCTAAAATTTCCTGTTTATTTGGCTACTAGACAAATCATCGTATGATTCATCCCTATCAACACAAATTCTTACAAGAAAATACACGTGTACGTGCGCGGGCAACACAAAATACACACGGGGAGTTTGTTTTGTTTTGAAACTCTTCAACATTTGTACTGAACTCTCATGCCGCGCAGGTGGACTTGTGTATTTTGTAATTTATTTCTTCATCACAGCTGTGTGGATTATAGTTTATAAAGTTGTCACGTTAGCATACGGATTAGCTCATACCTCAATTATATTATAATTTGATTTTGTCATATACATTATGCCTTCCGTAGTAAGTAAGAAGCGTTCCGGCGATGACGTCGAGTCCAAGAAGGCAAAGAAGGTCAAGTCCTCCAAGAAGGATGTAGAGGTTGTGGTTGCAAAGGATAGCAAGAAGGCTAAGAAGGAGAAGAAGTCCAAGAAAGCGAAGAAGGAGCCCACTCCTCCACCCCCCTCATCTTCGTCAGAGTCTGAATCGTCTGATTCCGAGTCCGACGATGAGGAGATGGAGGAGGCCAAGGTAGAGACCAAGGAGGCTGAGAGCAGCGGCTCAGACAGTGAGTCCGAGGCTGAGGAAGAGACAAAGGCTAAGGAAGATCCTTCTGACAGTGATTCGTCGTCTGATGAGGAAGAAGAGACCAAGGAAGATGCCAAGGTTGAGGCAGCAAAGGACAGTTCTGATTCTGAATCAGGCAGTGATTCCGATTCATCGGACGATGATGAGGAAGAGACCAAGAAAGAGGAGACTAAGGAGGGAGAAAACAACGATGAGGATGATGGTGGTATGAAAATCCACACCAAGCCCAAGAAGGCTGAACATGCCGAGGCCGGTGAGGCTGGTGACAAGAACATTAACTGTCGCGACTGTCAAGAGGACTTTGTCTTCTCTGCTGGCGAGCAGGAGTTCTTTTTGTCCAAGGGTTGGGAGGTATGTTCAAATTGTTCGATGTGTGTTTGTGTTCGTTGTTATGCCGTGTTCTTTATAGTACTGTCGTTTGACCCGGTGTAAAGCGAATGCGACAATTCTGATTAGTTTAATAACCACAATCACATCACACTCTATGGAGCATATCCTCACATGCTTCAAACTTTCGTATTTCGTTGTAGAACGAGCCCGTGCGTTGCAAACCTTGCAAGGCTGCTAAGAAGGAGCGTTTCGGTGAGGGAGCTAGTGCCGGTGGTCGTGGTGGTCGTGGTGGTCGTGGTGGTCAACGTGGTGGTCGTGGTGGCCGCGGCGGTGCCCAGAGCAACGACAGAGGTTGTTACAACTGTGGAGGCAGCGGGCACATGTCATACGACTGTTCAGAGCCCAAGAAGGAGAGACCCCAGGGTGTATGCTATAAGTTCCAAAGGGGAGAGTGCTCGTTTGATAACTGCAAGTTCAAGCACGAGTAATTCACGTGTCCTTGGATAATATAAACTGTGTACGGTGACGTTGTTGTACGCAGATATAAGAGCTTAGAAATTGTATATATAATGAAGAAATTCAAGAAATATTAAAATAGAAGGATCTCCATACTTTTAATGCATAGCTTGTTGTATGAACAGTTGTATTATATCGATCGAGTTGTGATATTATAAGATTGTTGTATGAACAGTTGTATTATAACGATTGAGTTGTGATATTATAAGAGTGTGTGTGTGCGATTTATAATTTTGCGGATGTTGATGGTGTTGTCCGCTATAGGATTTTGGTTATCAGATGGTCGGAAAGCTACGCGAATTTGTTCTTGGTAGTGCGAGTCATCAAATATCACTGTCCCTATACATTATGATGATGATTGATGTGCACAACACTGTGTTTTTGAGCTCGAGTGTGACTGAATATTGTTTGTATTGCTCACGTATGTCAAATTGCAAGTCCGCAGTGAACATGTAATACGTGGTGATCTTCTGGTCGATATTTACATGTCTACATACAATCGGTGGACAATAATGGCTAGTTCTGTTTCGAATACAGTGGTACCAATTTGTATGTATTTCATGCATGCATATATATATATTGTAACCAGTAAGGTAAAGCTTTGGGTAAGTGCTACGAAACGATACATAGTTTGAATTGATTGCGTTATGCTTGATGCGCATGGATTGACAACTACAGATCGATGTCTAGACCAATAAGTTGAGTCAGGTGTACAGAATGTTGAAGTGCTGTTGCCTGAGGTCAGCGTCGGCTGGGTCAGAGAACGTTTAGGATATATAATTCTATAGAGCGGTGCTGCAGTATACTGTATCCAGTGAAGTGTACCGGTAGACTTAGGCGACCGATTGGTGTGCCGTTGATGCGCATCTCTATTAGTTGCATATCCGTATGCCGTATCATACATAGGAAAGTGTCTTCTGATCGTCATACTAGCTTTAGCATGCATAAAAGAAGGTCAGGGTTAAACGGCGAGCTTCCACACAGCTACGTTTAGAGTGTAGAATAGTTGGGCTACAGTACCATGCTGGTCGCTTACCAGTATATATAACCACTCAGAAACAATGTACATGATGTATGTGTTCCCGATAGACTTGCTAGGCAGACGAACACACGTATAAAGCTGCACATGAGTAGCTCTGCATATAGCCTCGCACAATAACATCACATCCATTTGTTGTACGTGTCCGGTTGACTTTATTTTGTCTACCTCCCAAGGTCAGCGCACAATCCTGTCTGAATCATAGTGTACTGCAACCAGTACAACCTTGCCAAGCTGTAGAGGACTTTACTTGCGAGTGTTTTTTAAAGCGTAATAGTACTTGTGGGTCCCAGAACAGGGTGCAATACCATATAGCTGATTCAACAGAGAGTGGGCAATTGCTCGTCTCCATTTCTCATCAGTATCAACCCGTCTCTACAATTCTTACGAGTACGTTTATACACACTCCACACCTGCAAATAAACATAGGCGTAACGTACACCTGCAGATACATGGAGGAGCATGTTTGTGTGCAGCGAGTTGTCTCCCCCATGGTATAGAGTACAATACTCTCAACAAAGGATATCTAACTTTATTTATGTTGCCATTTATGTTCTATTGCATTATTGGACAAAACAGATATGCTTATGTATGGACTTTCTCTAATTTAAGCGATGGGACTGCGAATAGAGACGCGCTTATCCCAGTCACAGGTGCATTTGCCTGCCCCTTTCGTGTATCTTCATCTCTGCATGCGCACCGTATGATAACTCACCGTAATCTATAAGCATATATATTATATACATCAAGGTGCCTGTTGAACATCGACTACAGCCGAATTTAGCACTTTCTTTCGGAAATCTCATGCGCCTCATATTTTTTTAAGGCCATATGTGTGTGAACAGAGCGCTTGTGGGACTGTTTACAGCAGCTGCATAATAACTAAACCGCTGGGGTAGCCTGCCCGAATACCCAATAGGAAGTACGAAAGAATGTGTGAACAATAAGCAACGAGTGCAAACTAGGAAGTAATAAAGAATGTGTGATCAATAAGCAACGAGTGCATACTAGGAAGTACCAAAGAATGTGTCAATAACAATCAATGAGTGCATACTAGGAAGTACCAAAGAATGTGTGAACAACAAGCAATGAGTGCATACTAGGACGTACCAAAGAATGTGTGAACAATAAGAAACGAGTGCATACTAGGAAGAACCAAAGAATGTGTGAACAACAAGCAGCGAGTGCATACTAGGGAGTACCAAAGAATGTGTGAACAATAAGCAACGAGTGCATACTAGGAAGTACCAAAGAATGTTTGAACAACAAGCAACGAGGAGTGCATACTAGGACGTACCAAAAAATGTGTGAACAATAAGACACGAGTGCATACTAGGAAGAACCAAAGAATGTGTGAACAACAAGCAGCGAGTGCATACTAGGGAGTACCAAAGAATGTGTGAACAATAAGCAACGAGTCATACTAGGAAGTACCAAAGAATGTTTGAACAACAAGCAACGAGTGCATACTAGGAAATACCAAAGAATGTGTGAACAATAAGCAACGAGTGCTTACTAGAAAGTACGAAAGAATGTGTGAACAACAAGCAACGAGTGCACACTAGGAAATACCAAAGAATGTGTGAACAATAAGCAACGAGTGCATACCCCCAGTGATAGGCTACTGATGACACTTCTAAAACCAATCCACAGGAACAAACTGAATTATGTATGGACAATAAGCAAGGTATTCATATCCCCAGTGATAGGCTACTGATGGCACTTCTAAAACCAAACCACAAGTCAGTTACTTCATAAAATAAACTGAATTATGTATGGACAATAAGTAAGGAGTTCATGTCCCCAGTGATAGGCTACTGATGGCGCTCCTAAAATCACACCGCAGCCCAGCTACATACTAAAATAAACAATTCATTCCAGCCCCAGAGAGCACGTGTCGTGCAGAGAGAGCCGATACACCGGCCTGCAACAGTCAACAGCGTACAAGTGTACGGAGGGGTTCCATTTACATTTTGTATTTATTTAGATTCTTGATTCACTTATATTTTGGATTCATTTATATTTTTGATTCATTTATATATTTGATTCACTTATATATTCGATTCATTTATATTTTTGACTCACTTATATTTTGGATTCATTTACATTTTGTTTCTAACTTAATGTACAAGTTGTAGATGGATGGGCGCCTACACAGAGGACTCATTGCTGACCATACAGCAGGAGCCGATCTCCTTCACAAACTCGTCTAGTAGGATGGTCGCCTGCAGTGTTTTAAGGATACAATTGCATAAGCATGGGCTAATTCTGAGATACAAGCATCCGGCCAATATTACACGGTAGGTGTTTAGTAGAGGTTTACAAACACTCTAAAGCCTGCGCGGGATTGCAAGAAAGCCTGTGGTAAAGTACCAGCACGAGAGAAAGAGACCACCTACCTGCACTTCATTGGCGTACTCCCATAACTCCGGATCGTCTTCCTCGCTGTGTATACAGTGGTGCTTAATGGTTATAACCATGTGGTAGACTCAGTAAAATACGCACAAAGTGCGACCATGTCATGGAATGCTTTCCCAAGTGCGATTCAGCTGTTTTGGACATATCAAAGAGGACAGTCTCCCTTTAATGCGCATATGTGTGCATAGGTATAAGCTTGCCCTTGAAACGACTGAACTTACACGCACGAATGTCATGCAGCAGATGGTAAGATCCTCGCGTCATCGATGACAGCGTCAATACACAGTATTATACACAAGTCTCGTTTAAAATAATGCGTATCTATGGATTAATATAAACCAGCGCACTGTGCACGAGGGTCTCTATTCAGGCAGATAGAAAGGACATCAAATGAGTGCATCTACACACTATCTTCCATCGTTCTACAGACCAGACACACAGACACCACGTCAGCAAACACTTAAGAAACCTACCGTAGCATGCCCTTCTCACTTAGAGCCAGTTTAGCTCTGGTGACCAGCGCTTGAAAGTTATCTATGGTCCCAGCACGACGCGAAAGCTCGGCAACCACCTGTCAAGTGCAGAGTCGCATGGTTCAAGGCTCTCTCAGCTACACACCGTGTAAGGCCGTACTCATTCAATCGAACGAACACGCACGGGGTGATGCAGTGGGCAAGACACATATGCGCGTACAGGTTCAGGGTGTGGGTCACTGACTCCGTGTCTGAACGGGTGCACAACTAAAACACGTCGAACTACAGGTATAACTGGATGGTCCTAGTAGCCACTGCGTTCGCACACGCATACTGCTACAGATACACACAGCCACACTGACGACCCACTTACAATCTCCATACTACTACAGATACACACAGCCACACTGACGACCCACTTACAATCTCCATACTACTACATATACACACAGCCACACTGACGACCCACTTACAATCTCTATACTACTACAGATGCACACAGCCACACTGACGACCCACACACAATCTCCATAATACTACAGATACACACAGCCACACTGACGACCCACTTACAATCTCCATACTACTACAGATGCACACAGCCACACTGACGACCACTTACAATCTCCATACTACTACAGAAACACACAGCCACACTGACGACCACTTACAATCTCCAAACTACTACAGATATACACAGCCACACTGACGACCCACTTACAATCTCCAGCGAGTGGTATAGTGTGAGCACCGACGGCGGCACCTCGCACTTGGGACTCAGTAGGAACGTTCGCAGCTGCTCGTTGGGGAAAGTGGCCAAGTGACTGAGCAATGCAGAGACCCTAAGCATCTCGCCGTACGGCTCATCTAGCATGCGCTGCATTTTCTGCAATAACATGCGCAGGAAATCGCCCTCGTAGAACTCCACCACGTCCTGGGAAGGGGTGAGATTCGAAAGTTGACGAGTCGTGTCGATCGATTTGAACTGTGAGACGGCGGGTCTTGGTTATTGCGGCAAATGCTACATGGGTGCGAAGGAAACCTAACAACCCTGCACAAGCTCCGAATAATTGCAAGATGTCGCGCATATATATATATATATATAAATATATACGTGTACACACACACACACAAACACACACACACACGCAAAC